TAAAGTGTCACTCTTTTCACAGCTTTTGCCGGCTCTGAGACACTTTCACAATGTTTCTCCTGCTCTTTTTACAGCAAAAACTCACACATTACTAAATGAAAGCTTAAAGTGAAGACCTGATTATTTCTGGGGCCTTTTCATAAGTCCATTGTTTTAGAATTTCTGTGTTACTTTGGCTATATTTTCACACTTAAAACAATAACTTGGTATTCCTCTTGTACCATTGTCCTCTTTTATGCTAATAAATAAATCTCCTGACAGTTCTCTCTGAAGTGGTTTCATTGTTGTCAGCATTAAATCCGAGTATAATTCAGTGGGCCATATAACACTTAATTATCAAGAAATTGCTTACCTTTAACAGTTTTGGTTCAACATACTTACCTGTTGATCAATACTTGCTTTAACCTTAAACCAGATTTTTTTTAATTTAAATTTTTTTTATTTAGTAACTTTCAGGAGGGTGTACTCATTTTTGCAACACAACATTTTATCACTTTGATAAGAAAATGTTAATTTCTTGAATAATTTTAACATTCTTCTTTGGTAATTGATCAAACAGACTTGCTGGAATATTATATCTCTAAAAAACAATGTTTTATATATATATATATATATATATATAACATTGTTCATCAAATTCTGAAAAATGTATCATGTTTTCCATACAAATATGAGGCAGCACAACTGTTTTCAATATTGATAATAAGCAGAAATGTTTCTTGAGCACCAAAGGATCATGTAATTATGCCTAATTCATTAATTATGTGGAAAATTGAGCTTTGATCACAGATGCGTTTTAAATTACATTTGAAAATATATTGCAATAGAAAATAGTTATTTTTAATTGTTATATTTCACCATATTGCTTTTTTACTGTATTTTTATTCAAATAAGTGCAGCCTTAGTTAGCATGGTTAGAGACTTCTTTCAAAAACATTACAAAATCTTACTGACCCCAATCTTTTGAACAGTATAGTGTACATGTTATATTTATTTTAATTAGGCTGTGCAAGTAAGTTTATTTAAACTGGTTGTTAAAAGTTGAAATGGATTGTGTTATATTCTGTAATTGCTGTTAATAAATCTGTCAGAAAAAAACTTTGTTAGGGCTACAACAGCCTGGCAGCTTTTTAAAATCGTAACCATGTTAAGTTAGTATAACTACTGATTTTATTCTTTTTATAATTTAAAAGATCAGTTTAGTTTAGCGGTATCGCTATCGATATTGACGATGCTGGGCTTGAAAATATCGGATCGGATCGAAAATAAAATAAGAGTTATCGCCCATCCCTACCTGTGAGTTGTCCTAGTTACGATGCTGCGCTTTTGCTTCTGTGTGACTAACATATTTTGTTATTTTGATTAGATAATCAAGTGTGATGGTGCGTTCAAGTCATGTCGGATAGATCGTATTTACGAGTTGAACGACACCACAAAGTCATTATTACGAGTGGGAAACTAAATTTTCTTTAAGCCCCGAGTTTCTGAGTTGGGGGTGTGTCAATGAGAAACATGGCGGAATCCAGCATGACTTGAAATTAAATGGTAACACTCCATTTGAAACTAAGGTTTATAAAAGCTGAAGAAGTATTGTTCCTTGTTAAAGTGTGCCAATTTTAACTTTTACATTTACTAAATTTATTAAATTTATTTTTTTTAAATGTATTAATTTAGTTTCATTTACCTAAATTTTAATGTAAGTTCATACCGATAGTGAACAGATTGCTGTTTGGCTGAGGGTGTTTGAAGTCCTGTGGTTCTGAGTGTACTGAATGAAGAGCTTGGGTTTAAGGTTTTTTTTTTTTTATTTGCGTCTTGACTGTAAATTCTCTAAAATTTCTTATCTGGAATTCTTGTTTGTCATGATAATGATAACACATGTTTGGTTTTGTTCTTTTGTTGTCTGCGTTCAGTGACGATGATAAAATGCAGAGTGTTTACTTCAGTAGGTTTAATGATAAGAACATGACAATTCATACCATCTCTGGTCAAAGTCTCAAAAGTGTTTTCATTCACAATGTACAGTTGTGTGTATGTTCTGTTTGATTTTGCTCTAAGCAGTACAGCTGTGATACGATGGTTTCCAGTCACAGCTCAGTTCCTGTACAACCCCTAGCATGATGGTTTTGCTCCAAACGCAAACTAACAACTGATTCAATTTGCACCAATGTCAGTTTGATCCTTCAAATTGTGGAATCAAATGTTGGACACTCTGTGTGGCAATGATCTAACTATATTGGCCGTGTTATTTTAAAACCCTCTGAGATTCGTGTGGCTCCAGTCTGCAGGCTGCGATAGGCACCGTTTCCTGTATTGTAATGAGATCTGTTTTCTTTCATGTCACTATATTACCACAACAAAGTAAAGTGGCGCCCTCAGCAATGGTAGATTAAATTGCTGTTGATTTGTTCAAGAAATGTAGTTCTTAAACTGGAATTTGAGAAGTCTAGAGCCTAAGTTTACAAAGAGAATTACTGAAGTCAACAATGTTATTCACAACCATTTTTTACTTACGATGCATTTCTGAGTGAAACAGGATATTCATTAAACAAAAGTGGGCCAAGCCTTGATTTGATCCATTGGGAATGGCATGAATTTAAAAAAATGCTAGTTGTCACCTGTTAGTTGAAATTTCTATACTTTAACATGTTCAACTGTTGGTTCTGCTGTGATTCTAATGATACACACTTAACTCATATATCCATTAGTCTTGCTGCGATAGGTGTTTTCGGTTATACCGGTGTTAAGCCGCAACACCGGTTATGTCATTTGCCTACCGCGGCACCTCCCCCACCGTCGTTTAGATTTTTTTTATAGTAACAAAAATAATTTAGCCTAGTTCAGTAAGAGGACAGACACTTTTAAAAACTAGGCCTAAACGCTCAATGCAGCGTGCCGAACCGTGCGCGAACGACAGTGCACCACGGAGCAGGAGTCGAGCTGACTGACAAGAGTGAGGTGAGAAAGACAAGACAATGGCAGGAGATTGTTTAGAAAGGAAATGCAAAGGCACCTGTTTGGCAATATTTTAGATTTTGAAAAGCCTATTGACTGGAAGTTTTTTTTTTTAAACATTCGTTTCTTAATTATTTGGTTCCACGTTGTTTCCCGATTACTTGATTTAAACTTTGTGTTTTTTATTTATTTTATTTTACATCAAGGTATGTATGCTGTGCATCCAAGCTTTCTTATTCATTTTGCTAATAAACGTTCTATGTTTCTTATTTATTTGGTTCCACAGTGTTTGCTGATTTT